TGTTGGTTATTTGGCCACCCAGAATAATGATCTGCATGACAATAACGTTGATGAGGACACTGCAACAGAAGTTGGCATTTATTGAGGGCTAAATATGCACCAGGCAGTCTTCTGAGGGCTTTGCATGTCATACCTCATTTAATCCTCACATTGACTCTGAAGTAGGGACCACTGTCATCCCCATTTTACAGACAGGAACACTGGAGCATAAAGGATTAAGTTGTGAATGAAAAAAAATATTGCAGCCATATCAGTAAACAAAGGATGCAGTGCCCATCAAGTCATCAGCTGCTACCACCGCCCCCAACAGTGAGCGGGGGAACTCGGTGCAGACAAGCAGGCAGCCCGGCCTCTGCTGCCACTCCCAGCCTTGCCCACTGAGGGCACTCAGGATGTGGAAGAACAGGACACAGGCCCTACGTATCTAGGTGCAGGTCAAAGGAATGATTTCAGCGAGCCCAGACCTTTGCACCTTCCCATACATAGAAAATCACTGAATTCCTTCACTTGAGATGTCTGGTTTTCTTTAATCAACAGTAATCCCTTGATGTTCTGATTAGCTGGTCTTGGTTGCAAAAACTCCTGTATATCCTGGCTTTTCTCGTGCCTCTTTGAAACACTTAGAGCGATCGGAGAGGTTGCCTTCCGGGCTCGAGTCCTCAGGCCTGAATCCCCAGAAAGACCGCCAAATGAAACAGAATTCTCAACATTCAGGTTGTGCATTTTATTTAGTGACAAAGTAATGTGCCTGTGTTCACAGAGCTAGTAAGTAGCTGGGCTGGGCTCTGAGCCCAGGAGTCCGACTGCAGACCCCACACTCCTCACTGCTCAGCTGTGCCGTCTCCCAGACACCTGGGTGGGCGTGTGATTGAGGCTGGAAGTTCCCAGACATGTTCTCAGGCCCACTTAAATTTTTTCTACCAAGAATTTTCCCTGCAGGGGTTTCTGGTTAGCATTCAAAAGCAGTCAAGTAACTTAAATATATACAAAACATTTGTGTTTCCACTCTGATGATGAGTTAAGAAGATGGTTTTAAACACACTCAGGATCACTGGGACAGCCACCGTATAACCCAAATCTCCAAACCGAAGAAGGTACCGTCTAATTGTGTATTCACAAATGTTTAAAAGTCATTAACAGCAGCACAGTGGAAGCTCAACACCAGGCTCCACCACATTTTTTTCCCGTTCAAAGGGATCTGGACTAACTCTATTTCTATTGTTCTAGAAATGAGATGACCAGCTCTTTCAGAATATACAGCAACTGCCTCCACCTAAGCAGCGCCAGGCTTAGGAGTTTTACGGTAAAGCCATGTTTCCAAGGAGGTCAGTACAGAAAGCCAGAGTCTACCGGCAGTTTCTGGGAGAGAGAAGCTTTCCATCCATCGCAGAGGTTAACTTTTCCTTTGGGAGATGTTTATAATAGCAAAGGCTCAACTGGGATATTTATCAGCCTCTCCTGTTCCTCTCGGGTTTGGTGGTGTTGACAACGGGCAGGGATAAAATGAGCCGGTCATCTCAGGACCATGGAAAACCTGGAATCGAGGCTCAGGAATGCCCCCTATTTTCGGTGTGAGAAGGGGAAAGACTCTGTCCCCGTGTGCCAGAAGTGTGAGGCGTGCGTCCTGGCCTGGAAGGTCTTCTCCACCAAAGAGTGGTTCCGACGGGTGGGCAAGGTGTCCCGGAGGAGGTTTCTGGTCAGCATCCTGGCGCAGCTGGATAGCTTGTATTTGTTGCACTATTTCCAAAACATCCTTCAGACCACGCAGGGGAAGGATTTCGTCTATCACAGGTCCCGGGTCAACGTCAGCAAGAAGGAGGGGAGAGTCGTCAAGTCCTCCTTGAACCAGATGCTGGACAAGACGTGGAACAGGAGATGAGGGAGATCTTGCGCTGGTTTGGGAACAGCTCCCACCGGACGAAGGCCAGTTACACGCTCTTGCTGCTGCAGATGTGCGACCCCAAGTTACTGCTGACTGCCGCCAACGTCATCGGAGCCCTGTTGCTGAGAGAGCAGGACACCGCCTCAGGTAAGCACGGCCACAGGTGGAGAGGGGAGCCCCCGGAGACCAGGAGGCCGGACCTCAGAAGCCTGTAAAGGGGCAGGAGGGGCGGACAGGCCTGGGTAGATGGGGGTTTTCCAGGTTGCGGAACAGACTTCTTTGTCCTGACACCCGATCCTGTTTGCCAAAGGCGAACCTGCTGAGTATGTCTTCCTTCTGAAAATTATGAAATGACAAATGCAGGAGGAACTTTCAGCTGGCCTCTAGGATGGACGTCTGCGTCCCTTACACCCAGAAATGGCTGCTTTGTGCGTTTGCTACTTATGCTGGTGTGGGTCTTGCCTCAGCTGGTTTGGGATTGAAGCTGGTGAGGGACTGAAGTGGGTTTGTGGGGACACAAAGGGGACACTGCTGAATTGTTTTGTCCTTCCATTTGCACCGCACAGAGACCAGGCAAAGAGGTCAAAACCCAGGGCTTTTCTTCATTCGTTCCACTGTATTCCTTGCTTGTGCATGAAATCCAGCCTTGAAGTGGAGTTTATCCGAGGCTGGAGGTGCAGAGGGGCCGCGTGTGGACATTAGGAACCCCCGCCCGACCGGCGGGGCAGCTGTTCTCAGTGGTGCATGTGTCAGAGTCGTTGCAAGGGCTTGTAACACACAGGTGCCCGGGGCCTTCCCCAGCAGGTGTGACGTGGGCCGAGAGCCTGCGCTTCTCACCAGTTCCCAGCAGACACGGATGCTGGTCTGAGGACCTCACTCAGGTGGGACAATGGCCTAGGGTGTCGGTGAGAAGGTCTTGGAAATGTTGCGCCAGCTGGACCAGGGCAGCAAAAGCAATCATAAAGGAGCCAAGGGCCTGGGGACTGCAGGGGGTCCGGGAGGGGAGTCCAGCACGGGAGGCAGAGGCGTGGCAGGGTGAGAGGGGCTGGTTGGGACATCAGACAGATTTTGAGCTCTTGAGGGCGGGGGATTCCTAATGTCCATGAGACCTGATCTGCGGACTAATAGCATCCCAAGGGAGTTTAAAGTTACCTGACTTTGGGGGCAGCTAGATCCTGATCTATGCACCTGATGTCTTTGGTGTGTCTTTGGAGGTAAAGGAATGATCGTCTGGAATGCAGAAGTGGTGGGAAAACCAGAGAATCTTCTTAGTTAGATTAGAGATTGACCA